CAGAATATTGGAATTTACGGCTTTTATATTAATTTCAGTAATAATTTTATATTTATACTTTGGTAGCAATATTCATTCACTTATTTTAAGTTTCAACTAAGACTAGTCTTTGGTTAATGCATTTTTCATGTAAAACCCCTAAACTCTCAATTTATCTTTTAGTGTATTACCAAGTTATTTTTGACGTTGTCAAACTAGAGGAAACTTGAGGAATACTTACCAACCATAACGTGCAATATTCAAAGAGTTTTTACAAACGCAACTTACAAATCCTTTCTCTTTCGTTCTTCTTCTCACTTTCGGATATAAATCTTTGCTCTTAAAAGTTCTTACTAGGCTACACCGTTGAGTTGGTTATTTTGCAAAGTAACATATTCTAAAGAAGGAATGTGGAAGGACCGGAGGATACTTTATCCAAAAAAAAATTGAAAGCGTTGTCTCTTGCACCATAGTGAATAGGTTTGTTTGTGTTTAGTTTTGTTCTCGCTATATTAAGATGCTGAGATTTTAGAAATGTGGGCTTAGACAAGAGACACTACCTGAGCCAGAGGTTTAGAACACTAAAAAAGGAGACACTAATTGAGTCAGAGAAGAGGCACTTTTTGAGTCAGTGGTGTAGAAGTTTTCTAGCTTCTCTGGGAAACATATCAGAGGACCCATGCATCCTTTTTTTTCTTTTCTACAGAAATATATTTTATAATGGTATAAATTACGAGCTACGACCGAAGTCATACAATTTTTTTAAAAGAAAATATAGATGAAAAGCATAGATTACATAAAATGTAATAAAAAGCAAACGAATCTTCCGTTTTGTTTGATTTAAATTGTAAGGAGAGGCATCTAGCCACGTCCACCATGGTTCCCACGTCCTCTGTTACTCCGTCCACCGGTCTTTCATGAAGGATTCTTTGCCCGGAAGGGATCATAACATCCAACGTATCAAAATCTTCATCCTGATCATATGAATCATCTACCGCCTCAAGGAAATCCAATGCTATAAACCGGTTAGATACTCTTGGAATAGTACTGTTAGTTCACTTAAGAAGCTTGAACTCTTGGTATATTGGCTGCAGAGGACCCATCTTTCTTTCACCTACAAATGTCTTTGTAACCGAATAATTTCATACCCAAATGTTAATTCCTTGTCACCAGATTTATTTTGAGAAGGGTTCTTTTGTCGTTCACACGGCACGCTTTGCTTCTCCGAGAAGTTACCTAAATACCTCTGTCTTTCAAGAGCTCTTGAAGATCTCTGAAGAAGAGTTTGGCCTCTCCACGGAAGGACCAATTACATCGCCATTCAATTCAGTTTTATTGGAGTATTTAATCAAATTGATCCAAAGACGAATGGATGGATACAGAGAAGGCTATTCTAATGTCAATCTCTAATGATAGATGTTCTTCACAGTGCTATTTGCAAGCACAAGAACATAATACTCAGCAACTGTTTGTATTTTAGATTGTAGCAATTTCTGTGTTTTGTATAGATTCTCCTTAATTAGGTAGACAGATATTTCAGAAATAAAAACAACCATTCTTTACTCAAACTGTTTTTCTCTAGAGCTTTCTGTCATGAAAATGGCTTAAAATTTTCATTAACCGCTATTCATACAAGCAAAAAATGCTCTACGGAATGCTCTACAACTTCAACTTAATTTTTTCTCAAGTAAATATGAAATTTTAGTTAGAATAGTTGCACAAAAGGGTAATTCAGAAGAAAATCTGTGCCTGATAAAAGTCAAGCAACAACTTCTGTGTAAACACAACCATTTATACGGAGCAGTAAAAATAACAACATCAAAACTGTTTCATGTGTTACTTCACCACCAATTATTCTTTGCTAGTTCTCTATAATATTTTATGATGATCCCAAAGATTTCAATTCCAAAAGAAAGACTTGTCAAAAAAAGGCCACAAGCCCAAGTCATTAAATCTCACTTATACGGTCTTCTTGTCCCACATCGGAAAGCACAGAAGAAACTCGATGGTTTATAATATCGATGGAGTTGTAGTACTGATTGTCCCTTTGGGAACATCCGATAAAATTGGAACAATACAGAGAAGATTAGCATGCTCCCTGCGCAAAGATGACACGCACAAATCGAGAAATGGTCCAAATTTTTTTTTTGCAATTTTTTCCCAAATCAAATTTCATGTGTTTTTCGTTTTTATGGATTCATTTTGAAAAATTGTGCCCAGATTTGTGATACATTTTGAAAATCTGCCATTGATTGGCTGCTAATGCTTTAACTGAAGATTGTGTCTTTATTTCTCTGAAAATTAGTATTAACCAGAATTGTTGTCTTTAACTTCACCGAAAGTTCTTAACACAATGTCTATAAATTTTGTGACTAACATTTGATTGATTTTGACAACTACTTGCATTATGCAACAATGTCTTAGTACCTAACTCTTTTCATATAAACGTGATTCATTATCATACCCACATGATCATGTCTTTAGTTCACATGTTGGTTTGAAGACAGAATTGGGTACTAACTTGAGATCCTATGATCATTCATAATAAATTCATGTTGTACTGTTGTGTCTAGTTAGGTTTCTCCGGAGCTTGTCACAAAGCCTATCTAGATCTAATACTTTTTTTATATTAATATATAACATAGCGAGCCTGTTGCATTCGTCATCAATCACACAAGTGCACAACAACAAAAAAGAGTATCTCAATATACAGTTTGATCTTATTATCCAGGAGATTCCAATTTATGTAAGAAATATTAAGTTGTTATATAAACCTAATCGCAGTTTCAGTTTCTACAATACTTTTCAAAACATATTTTTTCTTCCAAAATTTAAATATTTTATATGCCCAAAAATAAAAGAGAAATTTAAAAAAATACCAAATGCCACACTTTTGAAATTTTTACAAAAATGCCACTTTTTCAAAATTATTTTTTCTTTATATTATTTATGTTTGGGTTAATTATGTTCTATTAGGGTTTAGTTTTAAGTGTTTAGGGGGTTTTAGGTGTCAAAATATTTTTTAGGGTTTAGAAGTTTAAGATATAGATTTTATACTATAATTAGTGACATTTTTGTAAATGGACACCCCTAAATAGCATTCTTGCAAATGTGCACACAAAAAGTGGCATTTTTGTAATTGTCCCAAAATATAATAAAAATTCCCAGGTCATGGAAACAAGGTCAAGAACCTTAGAATACACAGGAATGGTCTTTAAACTTCAATCTATAAAACTTTTTCACTCATTTACAAGTCTATTACGACTCGAAAGCAGATTGTTCCGAAAAACAGAATTAATATCAAAGTACCCCATGAACCTACTATAACAGCTTATAACTTCTCTGAGAACATCAAAGGGCCTACAAGTCTACATCTTTCATTCTCTAAAAATTGATAAATGAGATTCATACTCACATGGCCATGTCTTTTCATCCACAAGGTGATGAACAGACAGGATTGGTTACTAACTTTGGGACCTATATATTATGATCACAAACAAGCAAGACAGAAGCATGTGTTGTGTTCGGTTTGGTTGCTCTAGATTTATCTGAACACTAATAATAGTTTTCCCCTTATATATAATGCAACAAGCCTATTGGATTATTCAACAACCATAACTTGCATTCAAAGAGTCCTACACACAAAACTTACATATCTCTTTTGCTTTCTGATATAAGAGTCTTTATCCTGAAAACAATGATGATGAACACAAAGAAACTCATGAAGATGGCAAAGAAATAGCAACAGAGAGCAGCCCTCAAGAGGAGAAGAATCTCATTTCAGAGTTCTAATAGCTTACTTGCCGTAGAAAAGGGCTGCTCCGTAGTTTACACATCGGATAAAGCCCGCTTTGCTTGTCCAATAAGTTACCTAACCAACTCTGTTTTCCAAGAGCTATTGAAGATATCTGAAGAAGAGTTTGGCCTCCCAAGCGGTGGACTAATCACGTTCCCATTCGATTCAGTTTTCATGGAGTATCTGATCAAATTGATCCAACGACGAATGGATGGAGATACAGAAAAGGCACTGTTAATGTCAATCAATAGTGCTAGATGTTCTTTGCAACTACAAGAACATCATAGTAGTACTCAACAAGTGGTTGTATTTAAAAAGTAGCAATTTTTGTGTTTGTAAATCTTATAGTTTAAATAGATAGATCATTTCAGAAAATACAAACTAATATTTTTTTCTATGTCTCTCCTCATGAAAATCAACTTATACTGCTAACAAAGAAAAGCGAGCAACTTCAGTATCACTTGTGACCACACTAAACAAAAGAGACTAAGAGATTAAGAGACAATCTGGCTGATACTCAAACCAATAAACTCAACAATTCTCTAGATTTTCACATAGCATATCACTCATAAAAGAGTGAAGTCGGATCAAAACTGATTCAGCAAAAAGAATATAGTAAAGATGAAGACTTTGATGAAAATGGCAAGCAATTAGTTAGCTTTGTTGCTCTGCAGTTCCCCAGTGAAATGCCACTCTAGATCTTCTAGAAGCAAAGACACAAATCTTGAGACTTTTTCAGTCCAAAAGTTACAATTGTCCAAGGAATCGTATTATAAATTTTTCATTATAGAAAAAAAACAAGAGGACATGAGTCGCTTGTACTTTTTCTGCCGCTAAGCAAAAACCGTGACATGAGTTATACGCTGCCGGGCTTCACACCCGGAAAGTTATAGTAAAAGTTATAGTATCATTGTGATAATGCTTTAGCCTTTGTGCTATATCGGCCTTTTGTTCTGTTATGAATTTATATATACCAAAACTTGATATTCGTTTAGTGCGTTTTGAAAACTTAATACCAAAATTTACGGTTTTGATATTAGTTTGAAAAATTATACATTTCTAGCAGTTTTGCTTAATGCATTTTCATATGAAAAAACATAAAACTCTCATCTTTTATTTTACTATATAGACTTTCAACTTTTATGTTTATGAATTGATTTTCGATAGTTTATGTTTGACCAAGTTCAGTTTCTTGTTAAGAAGTGATCATTACATTCATGAATCATCTACTTCTCTTCTGTCTTGAACAAAAACTAACTATTACGGTCTGATGGCGATTCATCGAGAAGAAACAACAGAGATCATCTGAAGAGATTAAGAAGATCTAGACTGTCACGATCGGTCTCGTAAACTATTTTTTAAGAAGGTTTCCTACTTGGTTAAGAATGTTCCTAAACAAGTTAAAATCCTTTGTAAACTTATTTTTAAGAAAGTTTCCTACTTGTTTAGGAAGGTGTTTGGGAAGACCTTCCTAAACACGTGAAAATCCTTCATAAACTTATTTTTAAGAAGGTTTCCTACTTGTTTAGGAAAGTGTTTAGGAAGGCCTTCCTAAACATGTGAAAATCCTTCAAACTTTTTTTAAGAAGGAAGACCTTCATAAACAAGTGAAAATCTTTCCTAATTTTTTTTTCAGAAGGTTTCCTACTTGTTTAGGAAGTAATCCTAAACAATTGAAAATCCTTCATAAACTTTTTTTTAAGAAGGTTTCCTACTTGTTTAGGAATGTATTTCCTAAACAAGAGAAAATTCTTCCTAAACTTATTTTTAAAAATGTTTCCTACTTGTTTAGGAAGGTGTTTAGGAAAATCTTCCTAAATAAGTTAAAATCCTTTCTAAACCTTTTTTAAGAAAGTTTCCTACTTGTTTAAGAAGATATTTAGGAATGCCATCTTTAAAAGGTGAAAATGTTTCCTAAACTATTTTTTTAAAAGGTTTCTTACTTATTTAGGAAGGTGTTTAGGAAAACCTTCATAAAAAAGTGAAAATCCTTCCTAAATTTTTTTTAATAAGATTTTCTACTTGTTTAATGCATTTTTGGTTAATGAAAATCCTTCCTAAGCGTCTTTGGTTAATGCATTTTTCATGTAAAACCCTTAAATTCTCAATTTATCTTTTAGTACATACAGATTTTCAATATTCTCTTTCTATGAACTGATTTTATGTAATTTTATATTATGTCATGATGGGATGTTTATTACTAAGTTATTTTTGACGTTCTACGAGGCCCACCAGTGTGTTTAAATCCACAAGTTGTTTAGCAAATAAGATTGATAAATTCGGGGCCTGATGTGTTTCTGTCTGGTTTGGTTGCTCTTCTGTATATCTAAACTCGTACGAGTTACTCCTTATATATAAAGCAACAAGCCTGTTACATTCTTCATCAACCATAAGTTGCATTCAAAGACTTATACAAACAAAACTTACAAATCCTCTTCTCTTTCTCTCTCCTTCTTGCTTTTCGAACTCAATATTTTCCCTGAAAAAGATGATGAACACAAAGAAGCTAATCAAGATGGCCAAGAAATGGCAACAAAGAGTAGCCTTGAGCACGAAAAGAATCTCATTTCAAAGATCAAGTACTGCTACTAGCAACAAACGCTAGCTGCTGAGAAGGAATGTTTCATGGTTGACACCGCTGATAAAATACGCTTTGCTTTTCGAATAAGTCACTTGAACACCTTTGTCTTTCAAGAGTTCTTGAAGATCTCTGAAGAAGAGGTTGGTCTCTCCACAGAAGGAGCAATTACATTGCCATTCGATTCAGTTTTCTTGGAATATCTAATCAAATTAATTCAAAGACGAATGGATGAAGATACAGAAAAGGGTCTAATGTCAATCTCTAGTGATAAATGTTCTGACAATGCTCTTTGCAAATACAAGAACAGAGTAGTACTCAGCAATTGATTGTTTTTAGAGTGTGTTTGTAAAGACTTTCCTGTATTAGGCAGACAGATGATTTCAAAAA